TTACAGATTTCCAGTAAAACATTGTTGTGGCGATAGGTGTAGCGGCCTTGATTGACCATTACTGGGAAGTAATTGAGGACGTGTATAACAATGTACAAAGTGTGCACTTGGTATTGCCTGGTAGAGATTGGCATTGCCTGGTAGAGTATCTATGATTGCATTGAGTCCAAAGCGAAGGATTTTCCGAGGTAAATTATACATTATTGATTTCAAAGTGATGTTGGATTTTTCCGTTTCCATAAGTTCTAGGAGACGGCCTTGTTTAGCAAGGGATTTGATTTTTTGATCCCATGTTTGCTACGGATGACTTGATGACTGTTTTGAGTTTGTGCAAATGTTTTCCCGGGCTATTGTCCTTGGCCGGTATTTCCTTCAGAGCTTTTTGGTGAACGTTTTCTGAATAGACAGTAATGGAACATTTTCTAGACCAGGATGATTCGCGGTGTAGTTTGGAGTCTAGACATTTGTTAACCATATTGTCTCCTTTGATTCTTGTGGAGGCATGAGCTAGGGAGCTAAAGAATGTCATGACATTCTCTGTACAAGAACGTGTGTGATTTTATCCCTAATCCAGAGTTGGAATGGAGGAGGGAATTGGTAGCATTTTTGGGCAGTCCTCCCCATTTTTTCAGGTACATATCGATGTTTTGATCGAGTGTGTTTAGATCAGTTTGAGTTATGTCGTGAACAGTCAGGCAGAATCGTAGTGAAAAGAGTAGGTAGTTACAATACACCTTTAGTTTGTGAAAGTTAGTCTTTAATTTAACCCACGCCTGTCGTGGGAGATCAGATCCTGGGCAACTTCTGGATGGTTAGGGGATGACTGCCACTTCTTGTGTCCACATCCTAGCCATCCAGCGGGTCTTTGACTCAGCAGGTTGGATAGTTGACAGTATATCCTTTCACTTGAGGCAAAGGGGTGCCGGGATTTGAGTCTGGGTTGTGTCTGTTCCCTGTTGATAGCTTGGTGGAGGAGGTGATCTGGATCCATGGCGCGTCGGGCCAGCGCCATGCTTGTTGCCTGCCTACGGAGTTCAGCTGGTGGGATGCCTGCAAGCACAGGAAGCTGCTCAACTTGTGTAGGTTGTAAGCATCCAGTGATTGTGCGCAGGGTGCAGTTCAGGCACATATCTACAAGGCTGGTGCGTCTGCTCCTACTCAATACTGGTGCTCAATACATCAGCCGGCGCGTACACAGGTGCCAGGGCAGAGGTGCGGAGTGTTTGATGGACTTGCTCCCCATCCTGTGCCCACGAGTTTACGGGTGAGAGCACTGCGTGCCATGACCTTGTCTTGGAGTTAAGTAAGATGTTGGCGGTAGGAGAATGTCCTTTCCAGCTTGACACCAAGATATGTGGTGGTCGTCTGGAAGTCCAAGCGCCCTCTTGTTGATGTACACATCCAGCTCACGTTTTGCTTTCTTGTTGTTCAGATGGACGGCTGTAGAGACTGTCTTACCCTCACTCAGCTTCAGTCGCCACTGTTTCAAGTGTAGGAGCGAGGTGCTCATGTCTTTGCTCAAGGTGCTTTCAATCATCTTCCGCCCAATGTGTGTTGTCAAGATGGCCAGGGTCGGCGGAATATCCATAATTCTTGGAGATTGCATCAGGGTCATGGATGTAAACGTTGAACAGCATTGGAGCCAGGACAGATCCCTGTATAACACCATTTTTGAACCGGCGTGGTCTGCTTTGTTGCCCGTCGCTGGTCTTTGTACTGTCTTTGTACTGTCTTTGTACTGTTCTGTCTGGCAGCATCAGTAGAAGTTTAAAGTCAACACACGGTGCTGTACAGTGTCATAGGCGGCGGTCAGGTTGATGAGTACAGCACCAGCTGTCTCCTTGGCCTCGAAGCAGTCCTCAATGTCCTGAGTGAGCAGAATTACCTGATCACGGTTGATCGTCCTTTGCGGAAGCCAGACTGTTATCGGGGTAGCTGGAGATCAGTGATTGGAACTCTGGTTGGATATCGTCTGGTCCTGGGGCCTTACCCGCCTTCTTTGACTTCAGTGCTTCGGCGAGTTCTTCTGTAGTGAAGGGGTTGGTAATGTTCACGTCCCCACCATCAACCTTCCATAGCTCAGCAACTTCCTTTCCGACCTGTCTTGAGAAGTTTCGGTATGCGTTGGTAAAACGACAATTCTGAAATTAGTTGCGATGCAATTGCATTAGCACTCACGGGACACTTGTCAGGTTTAGACGTGTTCCTTCCTATGAGGCGGTTGATGGTGTGCCAGGCTTTTCGGCTTGAGTGTGTGAAGTCAATGGATTCGACTGTCTCTATCCAACGTTTTTGGCGTTTCTCATCCAGGCGCTTCGTCAGGATGTTGGCTGTGGCTCTAGATCCCTCTTTGGGTGTAGCTGCTTGTGTGATCTTCATACAACTTTTGGCATTCTTCGTCCCAACATGGGATGTAGTTCCTCTGGTATCCAAGGGGGAACTGGCTACTTTGGCTGCGTTGGTGAGCATGTTACAGTATGCCTTGTATGAGGTGTCTGGGTTTGTGCTGCCGGTGGTGGGAGGTTCTGGGTGGCTTGGTTGGTGAGCAATTTGAACCTGTCCAAGTCAGCTCTTCGCAAGTTCCATCGTCTCACTGGCTTGCTTGAGGTAAGAGCCACAAGTGGTCCCGGGTGTGATGAGTGATGGTCGGTGTTGGGACCTTGGGAATTTCTCCAACACTCAGCGAACCGAAGGTGGTTGGTCCTTTGTGCTGCTAGCAAAAGCTAGGTCTGGGTTCGAACCTGAATTTCACCGGGCAGAATGGAAGCTAGCGGGCTCCTTTGGGTTGTATAAGAGAATCAAGTTGTTGACAGATGCCCATTCTCTGAAATATTTTGTACAAAATTGAGAAGGCATTCGCAAAGTCGGTAATTTAATCAGAATTAGCGTGCGTGGAGCCAGTAGTAAACAGTGTTGTAGGTCTCGAGACCGGTCTCGAGACCACTTTTTGCTGGTCTCGGTCTCGGTCTCGGAAGCTGTGGTCTCGGTCGTGGTCTCGGTCTCGGTCCCCTTTGGTCTCGATATTTTGGCTGGTCTCGGGTCGAGACCGGCAATATGTAGCTTTTACAGCTCGATCGATTACTTTGTGTTCACTTCGTTCAGTACCGTTGTTAGTTAAAACATTTGCTAGCCCGTAGATCAAGCTTGTTATATATCGTGGTCGGTTTGGACTCGACTGCAAGTTGGAGGTCCCCAAAGTACATGTACATGTAAAGCTGCAGCACTACCAGTCACTGAACGATTTGGAACAAGTTCGGCATTTATCTGTTGAGTCGGGCACATAAAGCAAAGTATAAACTTGTAACAATTTATGCAATAAGGGTCAACCATTTTCGGGGATTGTGTAGTTTACCTCACCCCTGTGGGCGTAATCACTTGCATTTTGTATTCTGATAATAAAATGAGGTGCTTCAAATTAGTTATATTTTCGACCCCACACAATGTTCTCTTTAATTTGGGACAGTATTTTGAAGAAAAAGTAATTTTTTCTACCTGATTTTCCAGCATTGAACTCACACACTCTTACAAGTTACCACTCACTGTTGCCATGAGAGTGTATGATGAGACCCCATTTTCTGGCTGCTCATTTTGAAGTACCCCATTATTCCTCAAAAATTAAAATCCCGTTCAGAAAAAAAATTTAAAATCCATATCTGGCACATTCTGGCTACCACCTCGCAACTTGTGGGTCTACATTGTACAAGTCCACATTCTATGACAGAAATTTAAAAATTAATTCAAATCAAGTACACAAGTCTTGTTAGAAGTTAAGTCCTATATTTATTTTAGGAAAAATATCCGTTAGAAGTCATAGCTGAAACCAAGGGGTGACTGTGGAGTTTAGGATCCGAGTTCCTATAACAGATGAAACGTTAAAGGTAGATACCTTTAACTTTTTACTTTTGTCACGATTGGGTGCAGGCAACATTTCAAAGCCCATATTTCTTAAGTGTAACTATTTTTTGCTCAAGTAAGGTGTCATGTATCAATTTGTCAACACTGCCACTGGTCAAAATTTTGGTCTGTATTCTTTGTGAATAGAAAGGTTACATTTTTCAACTATAATAACGTGTCTTGTTTTTTTTATTTCGACTATTGTTATTTATTATCAGCGGTCTCGGTCTCGGTCTCGGACCATATTGGTCTCGGTCTCGGTCCGCCTTGAAGGGGCTGGTCTCGGTCTCGGTCTCGAATCTTCAGGTCTCGGTCTTGGTCTCGGTCTCGGTCTCGGACTATCCGGTCTCGACTACAACACTGGAAGTAACCGGTTACCGTACCACTATCACGTCGTCATAACGTCACTATCACGTTATCAAACAAAGTACAACGTATTTGTAATTGTTTGCATTCATGTGTCATTAGGGCAAAACTTTTTACTTTATAATTGATTAATTTTAACCTTTGAGGGACCCAGGTAGGATGGGTCAAATAAAAAAAAAATGAATGTTACTAAAAAATGTCTTGTAAGGAGTTCCAGAGACGTGGGGTAAGGCTGGAAACTGCACGGTTCCAAACGAGTCTTCGGGGGGAAAACCCAGTAATATTTCAATTGTTGTAACAATTCTTGAAAATGAAGAGGTGCTAAGCCAGAAAGAGCTTTTAATGTAGGTAGGAGAACTTTGTAGTGTAATGTGGTAGGTGGCAAGAAGAGTGTACGAGCGGCAGCGTTCCTGACAAAGAGGAGTGTATTTTCTGTATATTGTGGTAAGCCGGTTCATACTTCACGCGAAAGCGACAGCGAAGCGAAATTCTTCGCGTGAAGTATGAACCGGGCTGTAGACCTACTTTTTTTATTACCAATTGCCCATTGGTGGGTAACCTTGGCAAGTTTTTATAGACAAAATGTCCATATTCTGAGGCATAGTTTGTCGCGGTGAATCGACCAATCAATCGAGTTTACTTGAAGATAATATGCAACACACTGGTTATAAGCTTGCATATTAAGTTTGAAAAACTGTTTTGTATTTGAATCTTGCCTTTGTTTTGTTAAAATTTCCCAGGCGCGGTGTTGTCACTCGACCTTTACTTGTAACTATGTGAAGGAGCTAGTCTCGGAGGCTATCCTCATAAACAAGAAGCAGAGTGTACTGGAGAAGACATGGCCCCAAGTTTTTGTGCAGATAATACACTGTGCTGTTGAGAAGATGTTTGATATAGACAAATACAGACTGACAGAACTGAAGACTTTCCAGAAAAGAAAATGATTCCAGGCGGTCTACTTTTGTTGTGATTTATTCTTCAAAAACTTTATGGGAAGTGGCAAACACCCTGACATTTAGAAAAAAAGATAATACAGTAATTTGCCAGTAAAAATGGAAAGCATGACAACAAAAGTAGACCACACTGGATTAGTTTTGGAGAACACATTTTAGGACAAACGGTGTCTGATTCTCTTTCACTCAATACATTCATTAATTAATGGCGAAAAGGAAAAGACGAGAGGCCAAAAAAAGTTTGAGATTACATTGCCTCTGATTTTTCAACAGTCCGTCCAGTAGGCTTCTTTGTCGTTTGAAAATCGAGATTTGTTTAAATATATTCTTCAGGAATTGTTTTTGGGGTCAATATTTATAGCATTAAACTATGTGAAAAGACTTGTCTTCCTGATAAATAAGTGAAATTAGTACTTCATGGGCAACAATTCTCTATAAACATTTTTTTTTCATCACATCAAATGCTATCAATTGTTACCTGACATTTCAATGTAAAAATTGTTATTATTGTTTTTAAAAAAAGTTTCTATTTTAAATTTTCATAAAGTTGCATTTTTCCCCCTTTTGTTTTCATTGTAAATAATTTTTTTCAATTCCCTACACTTTCTTGGATATTTCAATACGTTGCCGTTACAAAAACCTTAACATTTGTGCAAGTTTCCCCAAAGTATGGCTGTTGCTATTGAAATGGTTACTATTTTAATTAATCAAATTCCCATGAATTGATAAGATTAAAGCCTGTAGGAGAGGGTAGATAATTACTGCTACAATTGGTAATAAAGAAAAATTACTATTGTATTTATTATTAAAAGGTGGTATATTTAAATGGATCTGATATACGAAAATTGTCCTTAAGATAAAAAAAATAAATATTCAATATCTAGTTTACACATTGTTTATTCTCGACAATTGGCTCTGAAATACCGGTAGCCTTAAATTGTTGCACATTAACAGTGAAGTAATTTCTTAGTGGAAAATAGTAAATAAATAGTCGTAAAAAAACATGGTTTCGGCGTTTTGTTATTGCGTGATGATTTGCATGTTATACAGGGTGGTAAAAAAACACCTGTACTAATTGCTGGAGAATCCTTTTAGAGGAATTATGTTACCAAAATCTCCCGATTGAGTCCAGTAGTTCAGAGTTCACGGTTCAAAAGTTTCAGAGTTCAAAGTTCAGAGTTCATAGTTCAAAGTTCACGGTTCGAGAGTTCAAAGTTCAGGGTTCATAGTTCAGAGTTCAAAGTTCACGGTTTCAAAGTTCAAGGTTCATAGTTCAAACTTCAGGGTTCATAGTTCAAAGTTCACGGTTAACGGTTCAAATTTTAAAGTTCAAACTTCAGGGTTCATAGTTCAAAGTTCACAGTTCAAATTTCAGGTTACATCGTTCAAACTTCAGGGTTCAAAGTTCACGGTTCAAAGTTCAAAGTTCAGGGTTCATAGTTCAAAGTTCACGGTTCAAATTTCAGGTTTCATAGTTAAAACTTCAGGGTTCGTAGTTCAAAGTTCACGGTTCAAATTTCAAAGTTCAAAGTTCAGGGTTCATAGTTCAAAGTTCACGGTTCAAATTTCAGGTTTCATAGTTAAAACTTCAGGGTTCGTAGTTCAAAGTTCACGGTTCAAATTTCAAAGTTCAAAGTTCAGGGTTCATAGTTCAAAGTTCACGGTTCAAATTTCAGGTTTCAGAGTTCAGGGTTCATAGTTCAGAGTTCAAAGTTCACGGTTCAAATTTCAGGTTTCATAGTTCAAACTTCAGGTTTCATAGTTCAAAGTTTACGGTTCAAATTTCAGGTTTCAGAGTTCAAAGTTCAGGGTTCATAGTTCAAAGTTCACGGTTCAAATTTCAAAGTTCAGGTTTCAGAGTTCAAAGTTCAAAGTTCAATGTTCAAATTTCAGGTTTCATAGTTCAAAGTTCAGGGTTCAGAGTTCAAAGTTCACGGTTCAAATTTCAGGTTTCATAGTTCAAAGTTCGGGTTCATAGTTTACAGTTCAAATTTCAGGTTTCAAATTTCAAAGTCCAGGGTTCATAGTTCAAAGTTTATGGTTCAAATTTCAGGTTTCAGAGTTCAAAGTTCAGGGTTCATAGTTCAAAGTTCACGGTTCAAATTTCAGGTTTCAGAGTTCAAAGTTCTGGTTTCAGAGTTTAAAGTTCAGGGTTCCGAGTTGAGAGTTGTGGACTCAGGGTTCAAAGTTTACATTTTAGGGATTCACAGTTCAAAGTTTAGGGTTCAGAGTTCAAGGTTCACATTTCAAGTTTCACAGTTCAGGTTTCAGAATTCACGGTTCAGAGTTCAAAGTTCAAGGTTCACATTACAAAGTTCAGGGTTAAGAGTTGAGAGTTCAGGGTTCACTGTGGAGAGTTCAGAGTTCTTTTGTCGAAAAGCGGTCGTGGAAGTTTGGCCTTCCTGCATTTTTTATTAACGTCATCTTTAGTGAGGGTAGCTCTGATCAGTGCAGGGCACTGCTTTCCATGGAGGCCCTCAATATGAGAAACATGAGATCTATTATGAATCTTTAAGGGTTACAAGGCGCAAATTGCAGCCACTACCAGAAACACCGGGGCAAACCCCTTCTCTTAGCGATAAGTGTTACTGGGGTCTTTAACGTGCATTACACAACACACGGGACCTACGGCTTTACGTCCCATCCGAAGGACGAAGCAATAATGGTTAAGTGCCTTGCTCAAGGGCACACGTGTCCGGGCCCGGGCTCGAACCACGCCACTGTTGCTTCTGAAACACCAGAGCATGAGTCCGGTGTTCTTAACCGCTAGGCAATGACACTCCACTGCATTGCATATCTTTCCTGCGGCATATCTGTGGAATTGAATGAGCTACAGAAATAAATTTGGTATTATGACCAAGCTAAAGAGTTGTTCTTTTATATGGTATATAAAACTCAAAAAGTCAGGAATGGGGTTATTCTTCATAAATGTCATAGCAGGTTACTACCGAGCAGTGAAATGAGGAGTGTAGACCACCGCTTGAGGAAGGATTGATGACGAGCAACAAAGCACTGTGCTCTGCACTCCTCGCCCTGTGCTCTCTTACTCCTCACCTCTGCTCTGTATTCCTCTCTCTGATGAGTAGTACACACTTACCGTGTACTCATCACCCTGTGCTCTGTATCCTTTTTCGCTTCACCCTGTGTTCTGCACTCCTCACCTTCTGCTCTGTATATATGGATAGAATGAAGAGTACATAATACAGAGCACAGGATAGGAATCTTGTGCTCTGTATTATGTACTCTTCATTCTATCCATTGTGCTTGTCCTCTTTACTCATCACTTCTGTATTCTGTAATTCTGCTCCTCATTCCGTTCTCTGCTCTCCTCTACTCTGGTCTGTGTGGTCTGAACAGAGCTCACTCTGAGTGAGTTGTACGGAATTAGGGAGTCGGAGTGAAGAGTACAGATTACAGGCTGAGGAGTACAGGACACTGGGTACCGAAGTGAGGAGCACCGATAACAGGTTGACGACCCCAGAATACAAGGTGGAAGTACAGAGTACAGGATGAAGACAGAGTGCACTTTTTCCTGTGCTCTGAACTTCTAATTCTGATCAGGACATCCTGTGCTGTGAAGACCCTGTGCTTACGGACAGTTAGGAGCACAGAGTATAGGGTGCAGACGTGGTAGTTCAGGATTACAGGGAGTAGTCGCAGAGCACAGTGAGAGGAAAACAGAGCACTTGGTGCTCAATATTCCTCATTCCGAGGAATTCAGAGAACGGAGTGAGGAGCACAGAGTACAGGGTACAGAAGTGAGGAGTACCGAGAACATAGTGAGTGGAGGAGGCAAAGGGGAGAGAACAGAGCACTTGGTGATAAGGAGTTCAGGGCACTATGCTCTGCACTCCTCCTTACGGTGTGCTCTGCACTCCTCACCCTGTGCCCTTCTGTGCACTTCTCTCTGTTCTTCTGCACTCGTCACTTCTGTATTTAGGGGTTTAGGGGTACTTCGAACTCTAAGCCTGCAGTCCTCACTTGTTTGATCTCAATTTGAGCTATGACACCTGAAACTCTGCTCTAAACTCGCAACTCTTCAGTCCTGAACCGTGAACTCTCAATCCTGTAAACTTCACTCTGAGCTCTGACTTGTGAACCCTCATTCCTCAACCCCTGAACTATCAACCCTGAAACTCTGCACCCTCAAATCTAAACTCTCAACTCACTCAGCACCCCTCACTCTGTTCAGACCATAGGTTTGAGGAGTGCAGAACACAGGGTTAGGAGAAGATAAAACGGAGTGTGGAGCAGAATACAGAATACAGAAGTGATGAGTAAAGAGGACAAGCACAATGGATAGAATGAAGAGTACATAATACAGATCACAGGATAGGAGTACAGAGCAGAAGGTGAGGAGTGCAGAGCACAGGGTGAAGCGAAAAAGGATACAGAGCACAGGGTGATGAGTACACGGTAAGGAGGAGTACAGGGCACCAGTGGTCTGTACTCCTTATCACAAAGCATACTCCTCTCCCTGTGCCTGCACTACTATGATGTTGATAATGATGTTCCCTCTGTACTCCACAACTGTACGATTCACCGTGTACACACTCTTCACTGTGTACCTCTCAAGCTGTAATTCTGAATGAGGAGTACAGACCACAGGGTGAAAAGTATGGATGAGGAGTAAATAGAACCGAGTAGGAAGTAAAGAGCAGAGGAAAAGGACAGAACACAGTGCTCTGATCTCTTTCCTCACTCTATACTCTGGACTCCTCACCCTGTTCTCGGTTCTCCCCTGTGCTTCTTCACGTACGTGTGTACTACTCATTAGAGAGAGGAATACAGAGCAGAGGGTGAGGAGTAAGAGAGCACAGGGCGAGGAGTGCAGAGCACAGTGCTTTGTTGCTCGTCATCAATCCTTCCTCAAGCGGTGGTCTACACTCCTCAATTCACTGCTCGGTAGTAACCTGCTATGACATTTATGAAGAATAACCCCATTCTTGACTTTTTGAGTTTTATATACCATATAAAAGAACAACTCTTTAGCTTGGTCATAATACCAAATTTATTTCTGTAGCTCATTCAATTCCACAGATATGCCGCAGGAAAGATATGCAATGCAGTGGAGTGTCATTGCCTAGCGGTTAAAAACGCCGGACTCATGCTCTGGTGTTTCAGAAGCAACAGTGGCGTGGGTTCGATCCCGGGCCCGGACAATTGTGCCCTTGGGCACGTTAAAGACCCCAGTAACACTTATCGCTAAGAGAAGGGGTTTGCCCCGGTGTTTCTGGTAGTGGCTGCAATATGCGCCTTGTAACCCTTAAAGATCCATAATAGATCTCATGTTTCTCATATTGAGGGCCTCCATGGAAGGCAGTGCCCTGCACTGATCAGAGCTGCCCTCATAAAGATGACGTTAATAAAAAAAAAAGCAGGAAGGCCAAACTTCCATGACCTCTTTTCGACAAAAGAACTCTGAACTCTCCACAGTAAACCCTGAACTCTCAACTCTTAACCCTGAACTTTGAAATGTGAACCTTGAACTTTGAACTCTGAACCGTGAATTCTGAAACCTGAACTGTGAAACTTGAAATGTGAATCTTGAACTCTGAACCCTAAACTTTGAACTGTGAATCCCTGAAATGTAAACTTTGAACCCTGAGTCCACAACTCTCAACTCGGAACCCTGAACTTTAAACTCTGAAACCTGAACTTTGAACTCTGAAACCTGAAATTTGAACCGTGAACTTTGAACTATGAACCGTGAACTTTGAACTATGAACCGTGAACTTTGAACTATGAAACCTGAAATTTGAACCGTGAACTTTGAACTTTGAACTCAGAAACCTGAACTTTGAACTCTGAAACCTGAAGTTTGAACCATGAAACCTGAAATTTGAACCGTGAACTTTGAACTATGAACCCTGAACTTTGAACTATGAAACCTGAAATTTGAACTATGAAACCTGAAATTTGAACCGTGAACTTTGAACTTTGAACTCAGAAACCTGAACTTTGAACTCTGAAACCTGAAGTTTGAACTATGAAACCTGAAA